CCTCCATGGTGCCCCTGCCTCAACAACACACACACACACACACACACACACACACACACACACACACACTAAAAATATAATAAACTTTTTTGAAATGAAAGTCTCTTTAAAGCAAAACAAAACAAAAAGACTGTGTGGCTGGAACACACAGATGTCTTTGTTAGAGGTCACCTAACATTTCTCAATATATCACCCTCATTGATAAGCAATGCACAGCTCTGTTAAGATCCATTTCCTGTTTCTATTTCATAATGAATGCAATAATTAAGAGAGCTGCCTGGTATGCTGGAACAGCTTTGGAATGTGATTTTATTTCTAACCAACTCTCTAAATTTAGGTTATTTGTGGTTTTTAGGTCTGGCTAATGAAGCAGCAGTGTTCTGAATACAGAGTTTGCCATGGATATAGGGTTCATACCCAGGAGGCAGGCTCTGGGGCCAAGGCCCCCATTCTTGGGAAGGCCTGACACCCTAAGTCTAAAGCAGATGCAGAAGCTGGAGATCCCACTAGGGACTTAAGTCCGTCTCCCTTTCCACTGGTCTTCCCTGTCCTCCCTCCCTTTTTTGTGAGAAAGGGTCTCATGTAGCCCAGGCTGGCCTGGAACACTCTGTACGAAAGGATGACCTTGAACTTCTGATCTTCCAGCCTCTACCTCTTAAGCCCTGAAGCTATGTGGGTGCACCACCTGCTCGGGTTTGTGTGGTACTGGAGGGCAAACCCAGGGCCGGTGCTCACCACCAGCTGAGCTGCATCCCCAGCCTTGGGTTTTATTTTTTCTGTGGAGGGACTGAAATTGAGTTCAGATTTGGTTGAGGTGAAATGATTTTCATTGGCTTTGGGTCGTTTCCTCCTATGGAAAGATGAAGAGTGAACTGTTGACAGTGAAAACCCTTGGTCAGTTATTGGAAGGTGGTCAGCACCCTGGTGCTCGGAAGAAAGATTCCAGGGAGAAAAGACAGTGCCTACCCACAGGGCACTGGTGTGGCTGGGTTTCACTTCCTGATCCTAGTCTGAGTCTCTTTGAGCAGGTCACACAATAGGTGACTTAGGAGCCACACAGTCATGTACTCATGCATCACCCTACTGGACTGTCTTGTTTTCAATACCTCAGCTCCTCCTGTGGAAGGGTCTGTGGTGAGTCAAGCTGGTGTTTATAGTGTGTTCCTGCATATGAAGTATTTGCTGGGGTTCTTTGAGCTGTACTAGGCTTGGCCTTGAGCACACACCAGAGCTTCCAGTATTGTTTGAAGTTTGGATAATACATAATCTTTGACCCCACCCCAAAACCAAAACAATGGATGGGGATATCATTCAGGAGAATGTGGGATGGCCATATTTAATCTCTAGCACGCCCCAGGTGAGGCAGGTCTGATAACAGGAAAGGCAGGGCTGTTCTTTTGTTTAGGTTTTTTCAAGACAGGATTTCTCTGTGAAATAGTCCTAGCTATCCTGGAACTCACTCTGTAGATCAGTCTGCCTCTGCCCCCAAACACCAGGATTAAAGGTGTGCACCACCACTCCCCAGCCAGGCTGTTTTATTGGGAAGTGGATGAGAGGAGATCAGGGTCGGTGACACAGGGTGGAATGACTATGCCTACTTCTTTCCTACTAATGACCTTCTTTAACTAGGACTTAGACATTGGCAGAAATAAAGACACCCAAGCTTCACAAAGTCTGGCCTGTCTGCCTACCCAGCATCCAAGGAGTTTACCTAGTGCCCTCCATTTTGAAAATCTGTAATTGAACCCCTCAAGTTTTTTTTTTTTTTTATTGCATTCATTTTTTGTGTGGGCATGTATATAAATGGGGGGTACATATTCTGTGAGACATGAATGGTCAGAGGCGGGGTGAAGTGGGGTGGGAGGTGGTTGGTTCTATCCTTCTGCCATGTAGGACCAAACTCAGGCCATCCCATCAGTCTTGGCAGTGAGAGCCTTTACTCACCGAGCCATGTCACCAGCACATCCCTTTTAAAATTGGGCTTGGACTAGGTCACTTTACCTCCACCTCAATCATGGGATTACAGGTTTGTGTGACGAGACCCATCCAGTCCTAGTCTTTATTCTTCTACTTTGACCCACCTACAAGCCATTTTCCAAGAAGCAATAACAGAATTGATTTAAGATTCATCTGTGTCATTGTCAGCCAAAACCCCCATGTTTTTGATGGGGGTTGGTGGCCCACGCCTTCAATCCTAGCACTGGGGAAGAGGCAGAATCAGGTGGATCTCTGAGTTGGAGGCCAGCCTGGTCTACAGAGAGTTCCAGAGCAGGCTCCAAAGCTACAGAAACCTTGTCTTGAAAAACAAAACCCAGCTGGGCGTTGGTGGCGCACGCCTTTAATCCCAACACTCAGGAGGCAGAGGCAGTCGGATCTCTGTGAGTTTGAGGCCAGCCTGGTCCACAGGTAGAGTTCCAGGACGGCCTCCAAAGCTACAGAGAAACCCCGTCTCAAAAAAAAAAAAAAAAAAAAACAAAAACAAAAAAAGAAAAAAACAAAACCCTAACAACAACAAAACATGTTTCTCCTTGGTTTAAATGATACTTACTAAGATCTCAGGCTGCTCACTTTGAGTCTCTACTTATTCATCATTTTCACCCTGTTTAGGATCCAGGTTTCCT